ATTAAGAGAAGCGCATAGCTGTCAACCTACAAATACTTCGTCGTTGGTACTTTGCGCTGTAAACGATGGAGTACTTACATAGATCTGGCGGCAGAAGGAGCCAAAAAATTAAATGAGAGAAATTATCTTCTGTGAATACGAGGTCTAAACTTGTAACCAACATTCTCACGACAGTTGTATAGATCCCAATATGATGACCACCGATGTGGAAACGAGTGGAAGGTTTCTATAGCGGCTTGATCAGGGCTGTCGCTGAATGCAATGGTTTAAAACGGGTTGGCTACGAAATACGCAAAGTGGCAAAAGCCAAATGCGATTCCTGGGAAAACGTTCAGTAAGGCGCTGGAAACAAGGTATTCTGGCAAACGATTCGCAGCCTCCGAGATTGTCAGGAAAGTGGTCTAAGAGTTCTGATGGACAAGACCGGACGGCCTCCTATCAAGACATACTTCAGATATCAGCAAAGTACCTTGAAGAACTCTGCAACCTCGAGCAGCAGCACGAAGACTCGCCTGAAAAGCAGCAGCCAACGTATATAAGTCTTGCAATAGTTGAAGCCACAGAAACGGTAAAAAGCTTGAAAAGTGGTAAAGTTGTTGGAATCGAAATCGGTCATGAAATACGTGAACAAGACACGTTGTGGTTAACACGTTTTGTTATAACTGCAGTGACTAAGGAAAAGACACGAGTGGGCTGAGGAACGAAAATTATGATAATTCTACTCGAGAATGGAAACCATAAAGAGTGTTTCATTTATCAGGGCAGTACCTTTTACAGCCTCCCGGGAAAAGTCCACGCAAAGGTGTTAAAGAGGAAGTGTCGCGGAATAACTGACTTTAAGATGCAAGAGGAGCAGTATGGCCTCAGGTCAGCTCTGCATCACCTATGCCAGATCGTTGAGAAATGATCGGAACGCATCAGTTCGGCTAACATATGCTTGAAAGAATTCCTGTGACCGTTCCTCGCGGAATATATTATAGCCGAGCCGGCGTACGTGCAGGATTGAGGGCCAGTTGCTGTGAGTCTTCCAGTCACTGTATGTTGATAGCAAGTGCTGCGTCAAAGTGGATTGCATTAAGACGAGTGACCTTTCAACTTTGGCATTGGTCTCCGTCGGAGTTGCTTTCTGTCCTTTTTCCTGTTTGTTTTGTATATGGACAGGATAATCAGACGCAGCCATGACTATCATGTGTATCAGCATAGGAGCTGTGGAGACGAGAAGGGTGCGGCTCTCAGGCGGCCTTGTTTTGTTGACATCGTCTGAAACTTCTCTCCAGCGTTCTCTGGAAAGTCTTGCAGCTGAGAGCGACGTGGCTGGCAGGTGATCAGAGAAGCAGTGGAGCAAGTGAAAAAGTTTACTTACCTCAGGGATCAATTTACTGGTGATGAAAAATGGAAGAGATCGATCTGGGAATTGGAATGGCCAACGGCGCGCTTCGTGAACTGGCTCGACCCGTTATGACCAAAGCATAGCTAATTCTGAAGACTAAGCTCTTTGTGCTAGAGTTGATTTTAATCCCAATGCTCACCTACGGCTATGAGTCATGTGAAGCATGACTGGAAAACTTCGATTCTGGGAACATCCGGCGGAAATGAGGTTCTTGAGGCGAATCGCAGGGCTCACATGACTCGAAATGGTCCAGA